ATTCTCAACCTGCTCTCTTTTCACAGAGAGTCAGTCATGGATGAGATACCACTGTTGCTGTACTGTAGCTCATGTACCAGAAGAACCAGAAACCCACCCAAAACCCACATTAAATTGCATGTCGTGGCACCATTTACATTGATTGCATATGTAGACCTGCTGCTTAAATCGCCTCTATGTCTTGTTGGTGTGAGCGCCCCATAAGAATGTAGTCCAAATTCTAGAAGTTCTAGTATTTGTTATGTACTGTTTGTTTACTACCTGTTGTTACGGTGTTATGACTGATGATGTTTTACTTTACAAACACATTTTCTCAACACTTTATCTGGCTGTGTGGAATCAAATTTGGTACAAACTGTTCATATAATATTATGTTTAGTGATGACAACATAACACAGTAATTCGTAGAGATTATCTCGATGTGCGATGAATGCTCTGACTGAAAGCCTAGCTGCTGACAAGGGGATTAGAACTGTTCATTCAGTGCCGGGGCTCTGCTGCTTGTTTTGTCCTATTTTTACCGTAGGTGTCTCAATCATTCTCAGGTCCCAGCAGTGCGTGAACTAAGCATGTGGGCTCTTTTGGGTGGAGACAGCACTAACTCGTTCTTTTGCTAGTCGTATCAGCTCTAACCTGCTCCATCATATTTGGATAAAACTGACTTGTAAAAAGACCAGCGCAAGTTAAGTCAGGGGTTTTGGTTTTGTCCACCGCTGTAAAACTAAAGATTTATAAACTGGACCACACCACAGAGCAGTGGTTCTCAAACTGTTTTTAGTCACAAACTTGAACAAGTGGAGATTGTCAAGGACCACCTGCCTTCTGTCGCCACAACAAAAACCTTGACAAATTACAATTCATATTTATTGAAAAAACATCAAGTAACGTCATATTTTATAATGAATCCAATGAAATAAAATGCAGTTGTGCCATCATCGCCTTAACCTTGAAAATGTCTTCCCATTTGTCGTGCCCCACCTGTCATGTCTTCATTCCCCAGCATTGAGGCCCGCCCCATACTTTGAGAAGCACTGCCATAAAAGTATGGAAAAGGGTTATTAGAGCCAGGCTAAGGCCAGTGGTTAAGGTTATTAAGCAGCACTTTAGTTTCTGAACCTCGACATAGAAAAGCTGAAGATCCAAAGATTTTCTGTTACCTGGAAGGACAGGTTAGAGAAGAGCAAATCAGAGGTTTCTTACCAGACACACCATTTGACTGGTAATGTTAAAATGTTTTAGATGTGTGCTGAGAAGAGGTGGACATATTGTATATATTTTTTTCAGTTTTTAAAAATCAGCAGTAACAACGTTCTAGTTAAAAACTGCATGAAAAACGAGTTAAATGACTTCATCCTATAAAGATTATTGTTTATAAAATGCCTTCGTTCTGAGAAACATCTAGACATAATATAGTTGATATAATTTGTAGTCACACCTGTCACTGAAACCTGTTTGCCCAACAGTCCATCGGCAACAGTGCAGTGTTTGTCTGTTTGGGTTCTGTATAATATCCGACCAATTGATGTCTTTGAAATAAATGTAGTTCTGGCACGGGCACAAGAATGTGTTGACACAAAGGTGCTACGTTAATCATTCACCATCCCTGAGTCACGTCAGCCTAAGTCAGAGTAAGAGCCTGTTGAGAGTTTGTTTGAGAGGAGAGTTCGAGAAAAAGAAAGACAGACTGTCAGGAGAAATGTTTTTGATGAGAACAGAAATGAGCACGATCCAACCTGGCCTCCAGAGTACACTCAGGCGGAGCTTCTGGCTGCTGCCACATTACTCAGAGCTTCATCGTCCTTTCAATAGGATACTCTGACTCTAACAAACTCGCTGACACACAAAGAAATAATTGTGTTTTGACAATGCTTTGACAATTAGAAATTGTTCTTATTTTTTCTGCATTCATCAAATGAAAAACAAACAAACAAACAAATTAGTATAGAATATTGAAAGCGCTGCAGTATAGAGCGTTTTATTTTACTCTTGGGCAGTACTGTGTCCAACTTACCCACCTCAGAGCTGGACTTTGCCTTGCACAATAACCCTGCTGCCAGTCAAACTGCTCCTTTACATCGCACATGACATTTCAAGTTGGGCCAGGGAAACAGACATAGTGTCCTTACCTCCTCTGTACAAGCCCTGCAGAGCAGCCATGGAGTATGATCGCAGATCTGTGTGTTTGTGTCTGTTGTGACTTTGGCCAGATTTGGTCTGGCATAAGGACAGCTGTCACTTCTCTAACCTGTCACATGCAACACACAAGAGACACCGAAGGCCAGGGCATCAGGAGGCACTAGAACCAACACGAGGCGAAAGTATTTATATGGATGTGTATATGTATGTTGGTAGCTAAGAATGGGATTTATTGTCCCGACTTGGAAAGTCTTAGGGTTGTGGCTGTGTGAAAGGAAGTGACTTAGAGGCACTTGCCTAACCTCAAGGTTAGGCGACTCTTCTCTAATCCAGGCTGTGAGCAGTTGTGTCATGTTCTCTGAGGGCATGTTGGAAATACTGTGTCCTTGTCAGCTCACTACCCCTGCACAGGCCTTCCTCGCCCTACGGTCTCCTGACCCTGATCATTAAGGTCCTCAGTACTTGGTAATGAAGTCATCGGTTCATTAAGTTCCTTAATTATAGCTAGTGGAGCCAAGATTGAAAAAAAAAACTGCAGCAATGGACTCCAAGTGCATTTATGTAAGGATGTTTGGGTCGAGTCTTTTGGAGTGTGTTTGTGTAACTGATGGACAGGGCTTACAAATACCAATGTCATCTTTAAGATTCACAGTAGCACCGTCAATGCCGATCCTCGTGTTAGAGTTCTATTACAAACAAGCCTTATCATAATAAATTCTGGAGACATACTATAAAGTATTGTCTTGATATATAATAATATATAGTATCTAGCCTCACTTTTACGTACAGTTGACTCAGGAAGTCGATAAGACCCAAATGCGGCACTCGAGGAACTAGCATCACACGCAAGTCGAAACTTCAATTCATCCACTATTTAAGATCCAGATCAGGCAGGAACAAGCAGAAATATCACAAACAGGAACAAATGATGGACTGAACATTGAACACACCACGAACTGCGTACACTGAACAATGAGCCAGCAAAGACTGAGTGAAGGAGGGAGGTATTTATACACAGGCCTCCAGATGAGATCATTAAAGCTAATGAACAGGGAATCACAGGACACAGGTGAGCGTGATGAATATGATTAAACTACAAAAACAGACAGCAGGGAAGAGAGACACAGACCTGACATCCATCCATATCTGTGCTGCTGTGGTATTATAAAAAAGTACTACCACCTTTCCTCTCCTTTTGACTCCAAATTACCCCAATAAGAACGTAATTGAAGAAGAAAAAAAAGGTTGCTTCTTGCATTTACACTGAATTCCTCACTTTTTCACCACTTATTTTGTAGTAATTCATTTGTCAACACAGAACTGGAGCAGTGTGATGCAACTTCACTGCTTTAAATTACCATTTCCTTGGCAGAGCTTGTCTGACAGTTTGTAAATAAAGCTGTGATACACACACTTGCCAAAGTGAATAATAATTATTTTATCTTGTTGTAACATGATAATTGAAATGGCACACAGGCAACAGTGAGCTTTTTTTTCTTTCCACTAGTGACTAGTTACCAGTGGACAGGACAATAACAATTATATTTTTTAACATGACCATCGTTGGATTAACTACCAGTGTTGTGTTGTACAATTAAATGGGTCAAACAAGGAGTTGAAGTTAGCTGATCTATTAGGGCAGTAGTCACGAAGTATCTTTGTCAGAGGGCAAGATTTTTTTCTGGACAGACACGGACACGGAGGCCTGAGACTCAAATAAGATGAAATAGAAATCACATTTTTGTCTGAGGGAATAAATAGAGTCATAAATGGAGGGTTTCACTGATAGTTATGTAAGTCTCAGTTGTTGCTTTAATATTTTCTCTTTGATCCTCTGGACACCAGTGACGGACTGGATGGTTCATGGGAGCCGCCAGTTGATTATCACTGTGTTAGGGTGTTCAATAAAACACTAAATGTAACAAGGAGCCTTCAGTGGTTGGTTCCTGTTTAGTGCACTAATGCGACCTGCCATGTGACAGCTTTTATCAGGCTGCTGGGACAAGATGAGTCTGAAACTGAAGACCTTTCCTCGAGCACTCTTCCTTGTTTTGACCAAATCACTGGCTTTTAAGTCCACTCCATGTTGTCTACTGACTCTCTTGTTGACTTCAGTAGTGGGCTGTGTTCTTCTGGATCAGTGTATCCAGATGTATGTTGACACTCGGGTCATTGACAAGGTCATAGCGGCATATGTCACGGCATGTTACGCCACATCTTAATTCTTCAACATAACTTCATTGTTGTGCACTTGGTCATCAAATTACTCATACGTTCTATAGGTTGCTGACTTACTTACTTACAACTGATTATTTGACAAAAGCATGTTTAATTAGTCAGTAGGCGTCCTCATATGCCCTGCTCTAAACTAGTTTCAAGGCATCCATCCATCCATCCATCCATCCATCCATCCATCCATCCATCCTCTCATCACAGCAGCAATTATAACATCTGGATGAGTTCAAACCATCTGTAAGACATTTGATGAACGCTGCCAATGGTCTTTCACCTACAAGGGCTCAGAATGGTACTTGATGTGGAAACACACTGATGACAGTGACTCAGTAGTGGCCGTGCTTTAGGACAAATATCAAAGTCTAGCAAGCAGCTTTAAGCAGTCTTCTCATGTGTCTCACAACTGGTTTTATTATTTAATCACCCAGTGATCAGTTCTGTAAATGATGTAATTACTCACTGCATATCTGTATGTATGTTGGCTTCCAAACATGGTAGCAGCCAATTGTGGTTACTATCAAAAACAGATCAATTTCATCAGAAGGATTTTTTTTTCTGCATCAACAGCTTTTTGTAAATTTTATATATATATATATATATTATATATTTACAAATGTATTTTTTTTCAGGATACAGCTCTGGACCCAGGGGAGGATGTGGCCCTTCTCTCAGTGAGCTTTGAGGATGCAGAGGCCACTCAAGTCTTCCCAAAACTCTACCTTTCTCCCAGCATTGAACAGTAAGTACTTCATTTAGATGTAAATAGTCAATACTGACTGGTGACGTCATGCGTCTCCAATGTGGCCATTAGGGCTAGGTGTAGAACTTACTCTCATTTACTCTCTTCCAGCCAGAGGAAAAAATATACTCACTGCAGAGTGTAATTTTAATATCACTGGAGTTCTCCAAAACCGAAGTATGACTTAAATGCACTACATTTTGATGCTGACATCACACCTTAAACAGCACTATGTTTGCAAAACAAACATAATTGCACTTTTTAAGTGCAGGTTTTGACAACTAAGTAGAATCCTATAATGAGCCACAAATCTGTGTCTAATGTCCTTCATGTTGTACTCACTTTGTTTACCCACAAATCTAATTCTCGTGCAGTACTTACTTTGATTTACAGTACACACATATATGGTTCTCACCACATGTAGCAGAACATGAATTATCTTTTGCTCAACGCGCTGTGTCATAGACGGACAGTGTGTCTGTGCATGTGTCCGTGAGAGCCAGATCCAGGCCCACTCTGACCTGAGGCCCCCACAGACTGGCTTTCGTGCTTGGAATAAATTTAGGCTGATGTTTATTTACAAGCACACGCCTTGTCGCACCGGGTTAATGGACCTCTGTCATCCCATTTCTCTACCCCCAACCTCCACCTCTGCTCAGTCGGACTTTCTTCCTCCTCTTGTCTCACTTCATACCTTAGAGTTTCTGCTTCCAAAAGCTGTACAACCATTCACAAAATGTGCAACAAGGACAGGGATTGACTGATATGATCCTCTATTACGATATGCAGTATTACACATTCATTCGTCTCTGTGTATATACAGTAGTACATAAGAAATATGACCCAGGTCGTACAAACTGTCCTTTGCCAGTTTTAAGAGCAAAACAACACTTCAGCATCACCTTAGGGCAGCAGCTGGGACAAAAGCTGCAAAATAATATGACTGAGATGATTGACGGGGTGGTTGCCAGCAGCGGGGGAGGGGACAGAGGGCTCTTAAAAAGGGAGAGGCTCGAAAACAATCATCATGCAAATCCTCTCTGAATGATCTAAAAATATTGTAGCTTACCAGCAGCGCTTTGAGCCATTGCTCCCATTTGCCACTGTTCTCCTGTTCACTGTTGCCTCTTGTTCTGCCATATTAAACATGTGCGTATCAGGGCCAAGCCAACACATCAGTACTTCTGCTGTACACACTCTACACTCAAACTGCTGACTTTTACTCTGATACTTTTTCCATGAGAAGTGCATTTAAGTCTGTGCGACAAACTGCTGACTTTTACTCAGATACTTTTTCCATGAGAAGTGCATTTATGTCGTTACAAGATTTACCTTGACAACTGTTGACACCAAGGTTGACTAAAGCTGTCAATTAGTCAATAAACTGACTTATTATGATGCATGAACGGAGAGATGCAGTGATCCCCACTGGCCTGACGTGATCACAGAGATAGAAAAAGACCACAATGCTGATTTCTTCACATACAGGGTGTAAAGAACAGAACACAGCAGAGCAGACAGGTTCTGGCCCTGTGAACAGCAGTCATGGGCGATAACAGAAGTGTTGATTTGATACAATAGCAATTAGTTTTTATACTGATATCGATACTTTTGTGTTGTTGTTTTTTTTGTTGTTGTTGTTTTTACCCAAGTCAGAGATAACACAAACGCCAATACAAACAACATCACCTCATCTTTAACCCAATGTGACCTAAATAGTTCAATTCCTACCATTACAGTTTAGGTGACAAAGATGTCTAGTGGACTCTATCACAGGAAGTCCCTGTTCTTTTCTGGTCAGTGGGCACGTGATATGTGTGGGGGGAGTGGGCGCTGCAGCACAAAAGTAGTAAGTTACCCTAAATGATGTGGAAGTGACACATGCACTTTAAAAAAAAAAAGTCAGAGATAAGTGCAGAGGGAGAAGGGAAGTACAGGAAGGTGCTAGGACAGTGTCGGAGATAAGTGCAAGGGGGGGAGGGAAGTACAGGAAGGTGCTAGGACAGAAGGTGCTCTGTGAGTAGTTGGGTAGGACGTTAGATGAATCTTCATATTTAGTGAAATAGAATTTTACAAAACATTTCCAGAACATGAAGTGTTTGTCTATTATTTTATTTTTAAAAATTAATCAAGTGGGCCGGATCGAAAGCCCAAGGGGGCCAGTTTTGGCCCACGGGCCGTATGTTTGTCACCACTGATCTATACCAATGCAACAAGAAAGTGTTGCCGTGTGACATATAGTAGTTGACGTTCTGGTGAAGTGGATTTCTAGCAAAGTGTAGAAATATGCGTTGGATAATGTTTAGCTGGAACAAAACCATATATGGAGCTGTGTGATGACAACAATTTGTTTTTCTATGTTCTTATGAAACAGCCACAAACTGGTAAACTGTGTTTAGCAGCTTACATTCCAGTGCTGCATATCAGTGGCGTTTTGTCACATTCATTGAAATGCATTTTCCAGTGGAGCTTGTTCACAGCGTGACTTACTGTGACACGTGATGCACATGGTGGTAAATGCAGCAGCGGTGGACGGCAGGAGTCAGGTTATGTTTAGCCTTAGTGAATTTTATTGTTCCTCTCTCTGTCATTTGTTCACCCACGTAATGTTTTTGTTAGCGCTGTTGTGTTTCTTTTTCCATCCTCCCTCTAACCTTCCTTTGCCTTTTTCACACTTTTCTTTCCCCTCGTTTTTCTTTTGAGACGCTTTTCATCTTGGCCATATCCCTCAGTTACGTTACATGTCTGATGGCTGTCTGTTTTCTTCCCATCATTCTCCATGTTTCTATCACTCTCCACTCTCGGCTGATACCTCTGGCTGGTCCACAAAGGGAAACGAGAAAGTGAGTGGGACTTAAAAAGAGAAAAGCGTTGTGCTCTACCCAGCAAGGTCATCCCTCGCTTGACTGAAGCCAGGGAAAAAAAACAGCAAACACACAAGAGAGGAGAGAGCTTCTCTCTCTCTTCTTTCAATTTCCTCTCCCTCTCTGCCGTACTTTTCTGTCCCATCAATTCTGAGCGGTTTGATATTTTATGTCTTTCTCTTCTTCAGCAGGGGCTCAGGACAAGCCCCCTGAGCAACTGGTTTTTTTTCACCTGTTCCCTTTTCCTTTCTTTTCCTTGCTCTCACTGTTACTGTTCTTCCTCCGTCTTAAAACAATCACTGTAATGTTTTTTTTTTCTGTTTAAAGCAGAAAGCATACAGACACCCACAGGTTTGCAAATAATGTACAGTATTGATCACATGGGGTCAAAAGCCTTTCGCTTTGTTGGCTCCATGTTTTGCTCCAAAGCTTTGAGGAAAATATATAATATAGAACACAACAAAGAAACATTGGCAAGTCCTGTAATTCTTTTTTTAATGACAATTCTTTTAATGTGTTCTTTGGACACATCTCTGGTTGAAATTTGTAATAGACAAGAGATCTTTTAAAGTGTTCTTTGGAGACATCTCTGGTTGAAATTTGTAATAGACTCCGACTGGACACGCAACCAGGGAAGAGAAAATAATTTGTGTTCATTTTCAGCATCATCATCATTTGCTTGGATAATTGTTGGGTTAGGGTAGAGTCGAGTTAAGCTAATGGAGTTGGATTGGGTTGAGCTGCATTTGTGTAGGTGGAGTTCTATTGCGTTATCTTGGGGTTTATTTTAGTCTAGAGATGGCTCGGTCCGATGCACAGGATTGATATTGGTCCAATGTTGGTCAAAATTTAAGGATCAAACATCGAATAAAACAACTATAGCCCGTGCGATCCGATACCTTAGGCCAATGCTCAACTTAACTTTGCGGGACATGCTGTCGACAGGGACACTATCGCCTCACCAGCCCGCGGCATGCTGGAGGACGACAGGGACACTATCACCTCACCAGCCCGCGGCATGCTGGAGGAGAAGAGACGGTGTTGGATTGGTAGGTGTTATATCAGTATCCGACATGAATCAATCTTAGCCTCAAAATATATCTTAAAACCTACGTTAGTGTTATTTTATATAGATCAACCAATTGAATGGTGATTAGCGTGAGTAAGCTAGGGACTGACACTAAAATAACTTGAAAATGTTTTTCCTGAGGAGTTTGCTGTTGTTAAATGCATGTTCCCGTGGGCCAGAGTTTGACTCTGAGCAAATGTACTGCAGTGTGTGGCTTTTTCTGGTCCTGCCCAGAGATATATCAGCATGATAACAAGCTGCGACTGAAGTCAGCTCACATCAAAACCCCCTACATTCACAAGAGAGTATTTCATACAGCCACAAACTTTCTGTCTGTGTTGCTATCAATTCTGCTTTCATCAACTAACGATTTCCTAGCTGATCTCTTCTTTCAGTGTCAGGTTTGTGTTTACCTGATTGGACTGTAGTGGAGTGGAGTTGAACCCTGACATTCTCTCTCCAGAGAACCAGCCGTCTTGCATAAATAATACGTAATCAGAAAAATCTGAATCAGTATATAGACATCTCAGACTGATGTGCACTAACTTAACCTTTAGGTTACTTTGTTCGTGCGTGGGTGTTCTTCTGTCTACCCTTCTTCTGTGCTCTGTAGAGGTGTTATATACTGTACATCACCATCTCTAGCTCTTATGAAAGAATGTTCTTCAAGGTTTTTCAAACGGCAAAGGTGGAATGTTAGAAGTCGGGAGTCGGGAGATCAAATCAACCATTAATGCAGCAGACGGCAGGTGTCAGAACGTCATCCTGTCCTTGTGGGATCGTTGTGTGGTTTTGGGATGTTCAATGTGGCGGTGTTTATCTATGTACTGCTCTTCCGGTCCTGTTCTAACATGGCACTTTGTAACAGCACGTCTCCTATCTTTTAAATTCTCTTTTGGCAGAAACACATCTGAAATAAAAAAAAAAATTCTCATCTCTAGCCCTGAATGGACCCTTCAGATTTTATGATATATGAGAAAAACCTTATTCACGTTTACTTGTTTGGGAAGGAATGTTGAGAACATTTATGAGTTTGCCAACTCATAACTCAACCAACTCCTAAACTCCTTAAAATATTGCCAGATTATCTGTTAATAAAGATAGTAAACAGATATGACTTTGAATTAAATCAATTAGTAAAAATTAAGTACATTTTTTCACTGCGTCCCAGTTCGGTACCAAATAACCTATGGACTGGTACTGGTCTGTGGACCGGGGCTTGAGAACCCCTGATCTATACAATCTTCCACTCACCTCTGGTCTAGGACATAAAAACAGAAGTCTGACTGACATCTGGCAGCCATAATGGACAAATAAAAAAAAAAACACAACACAAATGAAAGTAAACAAATGTGGCACAATCCAGTGTATGGTGTACAACTGGCGAATGTAAACAAAGCCGTCTTCCATGTATATGCAGGTCCACTACAGGGTGTTGAGATTCAAGACCTAGATAGGCTGAGTTCAACTTACAGTTAGGGTTAGTGCTGAGGTAAGTGTATTTATTTAGAGTTGACCAGAGGTCACCCTGATCAGCAACGCCCATGTCAGGAGTCTGTTAATCAAGGCGAGCCGATGGAATGTGAAAATGAAAATCCTGAGGAGGAATCAAGGACATCTGCCATGAGAAAATACCACACAGAGGTTCAAACAGATAAAAGATACAGCATGAGAGGTGTTGGTGCAAACACCACACTGGGACAGAGCAGGAAGTCCACAGAACCACAGCAGACCAAGACTTCATGGACTGACGCGGCCACTCCTGACCCTTTCCTAACCCCTCTTACAACATCTTTTCCAGTTAACTTCTGTGGGTTTTGATGGTAACAGTGAATTGTAGAACTCCACCTCCTTCTCCACTACTCCCACCAGCTGTTCTTGAAGTTTTCAACATAGCGTCTTATTAGAGTGAAATCATGTTGAAATTGTGGATGTGGAGGTTTGTTGCTCAGCGCAGTAACGTTTCAACAATTCACACATATTTTGTTCCGTGTGAGCAGAGAAAAAGCCCCGGGGTTGTTTCTCAACACACGTAACCTTTGACATTTGTTACAATATGGCAAGATGTGAACTATTTACATGCATCATGCACACTTAGACGGCAGTCGTCCAATCGAAACAATGTTTTGAAGTGACATAGAGTGATAATGTCCATAAGACTGTGGCACTCTGATGCTGTTTGTAATAAAAATAGAAAGACGCAGCCAATAAATGACCTTTAACCCGTCCTCAGGGCAAGTCTACTGTTTTATCCTAGTTCAGAAAACAATCAGGGAGTGACTGCTGAGAGTGGTTAGTCATCAGGGAGCTGCAGCCCTACGATTAAACAAGCGTGCACTTATCACTAATGGAGCTGTACAGTACAGATCAAGACATTGGGGCAAAGGTAGAGAGGGCACAACATTAGATGCCAACTTGTGAGTCTCTCACTTTTCAGTATGTATCTTCAAGGCCTGGACAATAAACAATTGCAGTGGATAATGTCATTAATGCAGTCTTTTTATTCAAGACAAAATGACACATCTTTTACAGTTGTGCGTTCTTAGTTTATTTCCATACATCTCAAAATATTTATTGTATCAACTGTATGATGTCTGTTATTATGATTATTATTACCAACCACTGCAGACAATAAAAATGTCATTTAATTCACACAGGCAGATCAAGAAGAACCTAATGGCTGACTACTGTGTTCCCCACTTCCTTTCTTACAGTGCTCTGGGAGGCTCCACTGCACTTCATATCCCAGCTTTCCCCAGTGGAGGGTGCCTCATTGACTATGTCCCTCAAGTGTGCCAGTTGCTCACCAATAAGGTAACATACTACTATCTGAATCCAAGTTGATGCTGTTCAGTTTTTAGGAGTAGGCCCCAAGGTAGAACACACAAACAAGCAACCACAGAAATCCTCCAAGGAAAAAAAAAGCAATGCATGTTTCAGCAAAGACACGATAGACGGACGAGCTGTCTGACAGAGATTTGGCAAGAAAGACAGACAGAGACACAGCAGATGGACAAACGAGCAGCAACATAGAGGAATACAGAAAGTTGGACAGGCACAAAGACAGGCTAGCGTGTTCCCTTTTCTGACTTGATAAAATGGTGTATTTGTTTTACAGTTAATGATTTGTTGACTACCAAACCTTCACAGACACATTTCCCCACGTTGTACTTTCTGCAGTTCCTAATTAGTTTAATTTTTTAGTTAATTTTTAGTTCAATTTTTTTTTATTATTATTATTTCAAAATAACACTGCGATTTTACAACAAACTAATTGCAGAGTAGATACGGTTACTCTTTGTATCCCCAAAAAGTACGGGCTGGTGTCAATGTGACAAAGAGAGCAAGAAAGTTTTGTTTTTTGAAGGATTTTTGTTGCATTTTAATCTCTTTAGCCACAAAGAATGGACAAACAAATAAGAGAGACAGGTTTGAATACCTGCAGAGCAACAGCTCCTGTTGCTCATCACTAACACCTACAGGCAGCCAAAGGCAGGCCCAGTCCAGTCTCAGTGACAGCGTGGGAGGAGAACCTTCACATAGTTCCCTAGAAACGGGAACATGTGTCCAGTGAGAATTAAAAAACACTAAAACTGATTGATAATGGGACCTTGAAACTTTTCAAGTCTGTCCCCTGTTTAAGTGCTACGGCAAAATTGGGACTTTGTAACTGACAAAAGACAGCCTTAAATTCAGCTTTTACTGAACTTGATATTTTTTCCAAGAGGAGTGTAAACTGTAAGTTTGGTCTCATCCCATAATGTGTGTGTCCACTTGTAATTTATATTGAATTTAACAATTGTCTGAAACCTTGAAGTATCTTAATCAAATGAATCATTATCTGTCTGTTAATCAGATTATTATGATAACATTAATCTGATTTAACATTAATCACAAACCTATGAAAACATGGGTGTCTTGTGGTGACATAAGGAAGTCATGGATAAATATTCACCTCCAATAGAAACAATACTGAATTTCCTTATTAAATGGTGTGTCCTCATAATGTTGTTTGGTTTGTAATGCCAGAAAAAGCCCTTTATCCTTTTCCTGCAGTACAAACTGTGTGTTATTTTCTGGGTAATAATCACTCACCTGTACACAGACAGGGCTGCTGTCAACTGGGTGAACTCATGAGTGCATGGTGAACTACGTTGGTGAGACATCGGTATTCGAACATTTACAGTGCAAACACAGAAATGTGTGCGCCACAGTTGTTAAACAGTCATCTGAGCTGAAGGACGTGCAGTAAAGTAAAAAAAAAAAAAGAACAACCAGGTTGTGCTCGTTTCTGAGTTGAACACAGTCTGTTGTAAAAGCTGTGCTGCAAACTTTATGTTCCCGGTGTCAGAACTCATTACGCCTTGTTGGTACGACTTCACCTGTTGTTCCAGGTGCAGTATGTTATCCAGGGCTATCACAAGAGGAGAGAGTACATCGCTGCCTTCCTCAGCCACTTTGGAATGTGAGTAAAACTTCATTATCTTTATTAGCATGACTAATGGATTTTTGACAAAGTGCAATTTTTTGAAGACTCTCCTCCAAGAGAAAGCACTTGGATGAGAGGTGAAACAAAAACTTTGGATAAGATGACCTAGATGACTGAGAAATTACACAGACATGTTGCTTTATTAGCATGAATATTAGCATCAGCATTAGCATGCAGCTTTATTTCTGGGGCTCCTCAACCCACAGTACCTAAATACCTGTATCACTCCTGGTGATCCAAATTCTTTCCTAAAAAAACGACACAAATAATGTAAATGTAGCACAATGCAGTGTGTGGTTACAACAGGCGAATGTAAACAAAGCCGTCTTCTGCGTATAGTGTCGCATGGCGACGTCTTAGTCCGCTAATGCCGTACGTCAGAATGAGGGAACAAGACATTCTAAATAGATTTATGGGAAATGGCGACATAAGGGTCGAGGACGTCGTAAACCGAGGACCCCCTGTATTTAGCAGCTTGACCGTGTCTGTTGCAGGGGTGTGGTGGAGTACGACGCAGAAGGATTCACTAAGCTCACACTTCTTCTCATGTGGAAGGACTTTTGTTTCCTAGTCCATGGTAAGAAATTCAAAATCTGCTGTCACGGAAATATTCACACCCGGTGTTTTGGTTCGTTATCCGACAGTGCCACTGTTCTGTCTTTCTACTGTAGTGGATCTCCCACTGTACTTCCCGAGGGACCAGCCCACACTTACTTTCCAGTCAGTCTACCACTTCACCAACAGCGGGCAGCTTTATTCTCAGGTGCAGAAGTCGTATCCCTACAGTCCACGCTGGGATGGTAATGAGATGGCCAAGAGGGCCAAGTAAGTGCTGTACACACTGTCACTGTCTTCCACATAAATCCATTTGGACATGATAGGTTTGGAGACAAATCATATCATAAAGATCAAAATTGGAAAAAAAAATACAAAGATACAAAAATGGACTGTGGAACAATGGAAAAATAATCACCTGTGAGAGAGTGGGTTACTGCGGTCAGGAGCTGCAGGATCGTATGAAAGGCCTTGATTAAGTGGTGATTACCCATGATGCCTAAAGACTACTGGAGATTAGTGTTGTGGTTATATATAGCTTTACTTAGAGCGCACTCACACTAGGGCCAGTCTTACAGAGAAGGTTTAATGCTATTTTTTGTATAAATTCTAAAGGGGTTTGTGTAACAAACACTTTTAGCTGCTTTAAGGATGATGGCACATCATTCTTGTCACTCTCTGACACCCTGTCCTCTACACTGTTTTCCACCCAGGGCGTACTTCAAGAGTTTTATTCCACAGTTCCAGGAGGGTGCCTTCGCCAACGGGAAGCTGTAGTGCTCTCCAGCCGACTAACAAGTCTGGAGAACGGTGTGTGTGGGAGTGTGTATGTAGGTGTGTGTTTGTGCCTAGCACACCTAGCACTTTGTACTTGTATACCATGCACTAACAAACAGTGCGGTGGGAGTGACAGTCTGCTTGTTTGCATGTTTTTGGCCTCGACGTTCTAACCTTGTTCTTTTTTTATGGCGTTTGCTTCATTATCACTGTCGCTGCAGCACAGTAATGGCTCTTATGTTAGAAAAGGTCTCAATGTTGTGAAGTTCATTTGCCATAAAATGCACTGTTTTGTCTCCTGGAGCCCCAGTGCAATGTGACCGTGGTTCATTTAAAGTGAACTAAAGGTTTTGCTCAATAGATAAAACTAGATTTCCTTAAATGCAACGTCGAAGTCAGCTTGATAAATGGATTTTGAGCAGAGAAAAATGAAAGTGATAAACACAGAGTTTCTCTTTGTTCTAGTGGATGTTCTGAGCGCCACAGAGGTTCAGTCGTCCGAAGCAGCTAATAAGCATAAATGTTGATATACGGCAGTGGATCTAAGCTACTGCTGCTACAGTGTTTGATACATTAACATCCTTCCCCAGCGTGGCCTCTGTGTTGGATTCTAGCGGCTACTGTAGCCAGTCGTCATAACACTGAATGCTGCCGGTCTTGTTTTTCAGACTCTCCGTCTCTCTCTTTTACTCCATGAGTTAATAAACGTGAGCAAACATAGCAAACAAATCATTTGTTACTGGTTAAAATGTTTTCTACCGAATAGACATCTTCATTTCTGCCTATAATCTTGTCTTATTCGAATCTGGGCTAATTATTAAACTGCAATAAATACATAAAAATAACTACTTCAGAAGTTAATGTCATTGATTTGTTGTTTAGTTCTAATGGTGTCATATTCTGATATGTAAACAGAAGTGTATCTTTATTTTTGATTTTTCTTTTTCTAAATGTACGTCCAGTAAAGACACGTGTCCTCAAACTGTGTGCGATACTGATCCTGTACATTATGGGGTTTTTCCTTGGCTTGTCCACAATATATCAAAATACAAGTAAATAAATACTAATGTCGTAAACTCACGTATACATGAGGACGTTTTTGTAGAAAGATGTATTTAATGTGTCTAAAATGTTACTAAACTCATCTTGTATGACGTCACGTCATTACCCTTAGGAATGTGGGTTAAAATACTCACACACAAAAAAAAAGAAATGGATGAAAATAACCACCAAGATATATTTTGTGGGAACTGTCAATGTTGGGTTACTTTGAGGCCTAAAAAAAATCAAAGCAACATTCCAACATGTGGTCGACCCCAAACCCAAAAATGTGACAAGTTTCTTAGTAAATCCAAATAGTCTTCTTTACATGTAGATAAAAAGCAATGCTGACACAATAGTGCAACATAAAAGGTATACAATTATTATACACATTGTACTAAAAGAGCTGAACACTGGAACTGAAGTTCTTACAGTACAGTGGGAGCTCGAGAAAGGTCAAGAAGGTCAAGAAAGATGACATCTTTCTTGACCAAGCTAATGGCCTTGATGTGGCTCTCTAACGGACTGGACAGGTGTGGAAATGCAGCAGAGAGAGCAGAAGAACTCCACCCCGCAGGATCCAATCGTATCTCCATTGCATTTTCTTCATTAAAAATAACTCCGATTCTGGAGGTCCAGGACAGCCAGTTTCTCAAATTAAGTCACTAAAACCACTTTACCGCTACTTCCACAACTTGATCCTCAAAATGTGCGTTGCGTTGACAACACTAAGAAAGATGTCATCTTTCTTGACCAAGCTAATGGCCCTGATGTGGCTCTCTAACGGACTGGACGGGTGTGGAAATGCAGCAGAGAGAGCAGAAGAACTCCACCCCGCATCTCGGAAAAAGAGCCTATCAAGCTTGGATCCTTGCCTACTGGACATTTGCTCCAGAGAAAATCAGCTACCTCCAGTTTTGGCATCAACATACCTGTATGAGCAGGTCACACATGAGAAATGTGCTCAGCCCTACCCTGGTTAGTGACAGACCACGTATGAAGCAGGTCTGCAACCTAAAATGACTGACTACAAATAATGATAGAGCTCAGCCAAGCACAGCAGAGCCAGGGATCACGCTGACTGGTTGGCCTGTGCTAATTTGTTGTAGCTTCAGCCTACATTGCTTTTACTCCAAGTACACAACTGTTTGCCTGTGTTTAAAATGCTGATGTGGCTTTTTCAATCTGATATGATAAAGTTCTGGATGCAGTGTATTCTATCTGTTTTTGGTATTTTCTCATAAATGTTCTAAAATAGGCTCCCTATTATGAATATTGAAAAATATATTTAAAATAAGATGGCATATGGCTAATATAGATGGAATAAAATACAGTCAGACAGTACTACAAAATATAAAAATAAATGTCTAGAAGAGAACAAAGACCGAAGCCCAAGTGGAAAAGATAGCAGTGTTAGCAATCTAAGGAGTTAAGCTGAGTTAGCATTAGCAGTCGAAAATTAAAACACGTACGCTAAGGGACAAACAAGTACTCTGAGTAGAAGTAGGTAATCAAGAGTAATTAGCCGCATTATAATTACATTAGTAGCAGTTCTAGCCAAAGTAGCAGATGTGACGTTTGTACTTTTAGAGGAGTAGAGGTAGCTAAATTAGCATAACAGGCGCTAATAGCTATATAAGCAAAAATAAACGTAATGACTCGGTCAACCACATTTTCGTAAGTAACCAAAAGTCAGAATAGATCAAATTAGAAAGAAAAAAGTTTAATTCTGAATGAATTGTTTATTTGCGAAGCTTTCTAGCCTCGAGCTACAATGCATACGGAATAAAGACATTACAGTGATGTCAGCTGTGAAGGATTGTTTCGGAGGAACAACAGACAGGCTCAGTCTGTGTGTATGTGTGTAAATGCCCATGCATGAATGTGCAGCTGCATGTGCTTCAGCGAGGCTGAGTGTTTGTACTGTATGTGTTCGTGCTTGACCTCATCATTAACTCCGAGGATCGGAGCATGGGGTTCTCCGTGGCCTCAGGCCCAGCCCTTTGCTATATTTACTGTCGGTAATGCTGCAACCGTCACGTCTAATTAAGAACTCCATGCTGAAGGTATCAGGCATTTTCTACAAAGGCATGTAATTAAAAAAAAAAAACGAGATTCCCTTTGTTTTTTACTCTGCCTTTCATTCTGACCGTTTTGTTTTCAGGGTTCAGCCACAGAACGTTTGTCTAACGAGGGCGTCGCAGAGCAGAGATGATAAGAAGCTTTAAAAAGTACAAGCCGAGACCAGTGACAGTCGAGTCTAGACATTGTGTGACTGTGTGCTTTATGTGCACCGAATGATGTGTCGTCCTGTTCGCACAGCGCTATCAATTATTGGCGCTGAACGAAACGCTACATATTTGTTTGTTTTTGTGTCAAAGGGCGTTCATTTGAGGATGTCTGAGTGAACATCGCTCTCTGAAAGCTTTGAGTTTGTCACATAAAGCTGACTGTTCTCAGAAAGGTGCCATGATTCACAAGACCCTCAGCTTCATGTTACGTCCGGTGCTGAGTACAGTTATTTGTGGCCCATGGTCAGTCAGTCTGTCCATTTGTCTCCCTCAATGTCCTCCATCACTGACTATACATCTCTGTTTATGTCTTAGCTGACCAAAGCAATTTCCTCTCTCCTTCCTTTGTGTCTAATGATTGATGATTGATCACGATTGTTATGTTTTTTTTCTTTCTCTCTTACTCTGAAATATTATATGTATGGATTTATACATATAAACATATACACACTGTGTATATAGATGGATGGATGACAGACAGACAGATAGATAAACAAAAAAATATTGAAATTTCTCTTTTTTGTATCGAAAAAATATTGGACCGTGACACTTAAGTATTGAACTGAACCGAACCATGGATTTTCGGTATTGTTGCGCATCTAATATATATATATATATATATATATTGTGTATTATTGTTTGTTGTTCACTCGGTTCATCTTTGAGGGAATTCAGTCCTATTTCCAACATCCCAACTCGGTGAGGTCTGTGCCTAAATACGTCTCAGCGCCACATACTTTTTCGCACCTTAATGTGGATTTAAACAATCTAATGATGCTGTAAAGTGCTGCTAAAGATTCCCTTTGAAGATGATTCTCATCCCCTGATTATCACAGTGCACAGGTCTGCCAACCCTCCCAGCTAATACTCCGAATCCACTAATCCAGACATGTTTAGAAAATCCTGACAGCAGTTAGAAGTGTGGAATAATTAGCTGGGAATATACAGAGTGTAGTGAGAAAATTAATTGAAGTATTTTTACTTTAATCTGTACGGAGACTTTTTTTTAACTAATCAACTGAAAATGCCGCAGTCATTCTAACAGAGGATCTGTATCCTAGATTTAAGTTGGGGGAGGGGGTGATGGGGCTTAGTTGCATTAGCTAAGGGAGAAAATATCCATTGTCTGTCGGAAAAACAACAAAAATATCATCATATTGTTGTCGGGCGACTACCATCAAGACAACCAAGACTTCAATGCAGACCCCTCTGCCTAAAAATACTGACAGGAGTGTGAGACGGGATCAACAAACAATTTTCTGGTCCATAACCTCCAGTGAGCTCTTAGCTTCACTCATCCTGATAGGACTCAGAAGTCAGGATCATCTCAAAAGTTAGCAAAGTACAAAGTACTGAACTAGACAGGCAGTGATTCATGGGGGAGACAGAAACTGAACTAGATAGGCAGTGATTCATGGGGGAGACAGAAAGTAGTTATCAGGCATGGCAAATGGAGGAAGAGAGGAAACTACACTATTAGATTGGTTTATCATTATAGTACTACTAGTTCTGTCATTTTAGTTTACCTAAACTAGTTAGGTCCAAGGTAAAATAGTTTACCTTGGTCATCGCATTTCCCATAAAGTCAACAAGAAAGTCTTGTTCTGTCATTCCATGCTTTAAACCAAATTTCGCACAGGAACCAGATGGTGTGTCGTCAAGCGAAGTTATACGCAGAAGACAGCTTTGTTTACATGCAGCAGTTGTACACAATTCACGGGATTGTGCTACATTCACTGTCTTTGGTTTGTGTTGTTTTTTTTTGCCCTTCATTCTGGTTACCAAGCGTAAATCAGAATCCTCTGATGTTTTTATGTCCTCTGGTTTCCAAGCGTAAGTCAGAATCCTCTGATGTTTTTATGTCCTAGATTATGATGTCACCACTGTTACTACTATTTACATTACAGCAACATACAACATATATAATTCAACAAGAATAATATTGAGGACATGGACACATTTACATACTACTAAATTGCTAAGATCCATAGGCTGACGTAGCCCAGAGCGTTGCCTTCCTACCCAGACAGTTATACTACACAGCTTCCCTTGAACTCAGTTAAAAAGGAAAGTCAAACAAAAACATATCAGTCCAACCCACCTACTATGTTGTGGGTCTATTGCTTTATTTACAGGGTTCACAGCAGTGGAGTAAAAACTGCTCAGCTCCAGTGTTGGTCTGGAAGGATCACTACAGCACCATCAGACAGATAGAAGGGATACAAAGAGATTACGGCCGGGGGATTATTACCTGCACACCTCAGGGTTTTGGAGATGCACAGGACACAAGGGGATGTTAGACTGCAGCCAATCACCTTGTCTGCAGAGTTAATAATAGATAACAGTTAGCGCCTGTCTTTAACAGGGGCAGGAGCGCACCACAGCTGCAACATTTGCAACAAGTTTATCTTTACCAAAATGATGTCAGTTTCCCAGCCTCACTGTCAGAACAACAACCCTTACGTGGTTCTAACCCTGCTGAGGTTAATGGGGCGGAGAGGATTAGCTCATTTTGGAAAGACCCAGCAGGGGAAAGGAGGTGAAGGGAGACTTGGGGCCTTCAGACGCAGCCTTTTTAATCTGGTCTTTTCATCACGTTAGACATGAGGAATATGATGTCTGTGGATTTTGTCCAAACACCGGTTTAAACACTAATGACTCCTCCAACTCTCCACTGCTAAGAAAGCTTGGCTAAGCCGATCAAGTCTTCATCACATTCTGTCTAATGTTAGTGTTGATATGCTGGTATTTGTTAGTGCTCTCTGAAAATAATGTAATTACAGAGGGTCCTCGGTTTACGATATCCTCCACTGGTGGTGTTTCGTGGTTACGTCGCCATCTCCCATACATCTATTAAGAAAGTCTCGTTGGATCATTCTGACATAAGGCTTTAAAGATCGCAAACTAGAAGACACAGGAACGAGTTGGCAACCATTCGCCGGTTATTAACAATAGCCAACACATTGCTGCCTCTCGAAGGAGATTGTTGAATACATCTTTCTTCAATTCCTGCAAGTTTATCAGTCACTAAATAGATAAG